GCAGGCCCAGCGGTCATGGCTCACGGGCCCAGCCGCTCCGCGGCATGTGGGATCTTCCCGGACCGAGGCACGAACCCGTGTCCCCTGCATCGGCAGGCGGCCTCTCAACCACTGCGCCACCAGGGAAGCCCCTGAGTTAATTTTTTAAATAGCATTTCAAAAAAAAAGCATCATGACAATAATTATTGAGAGATCACTGATGAGCGTTGTCTCTAGAAAAAACTCCTCTCTACACAGGAATGGTTATGATTCTGCCACTGTTTGGGAAAAAATTTAAACAGCACTTTTATGCTTTACTTACATAGAGAAGCATTAGAACATAGTGGTCTGGGTTCAAATTCTACCTATGCCATGTTAGAGAAGTCATTTAACCTTCCTAAACCTCAGTTTCTTTATCTGTAAAATGGGGATAATGATGATTAGAAAAATATCTGTCGCATAATCAATGTTAACTGTTATTATCCTGTGAGGTAAGTGTTATGTTTATAGACTCATTAGAATATTGGCTGATTAGAGCTAATTTATATTAGAAAGAATATCATCATTTATTGTGGTGGTAAACGAAGAGTTAAAGGATGTTGTAAGTAACAATTAAGTAATGAACTATGGGAAACGTAATCAAAGGCACCATCTAAGGACAAAACGCCATTCTTTGGTTCTGCATCTATTGTAACTGTAGTATTATTAATAGTAATAAAGTGCTGGGCTTCTATAGAACCCAGGACTTGGAAACAAAGCCAAGTGACATATGTATATATTTATTTAATGGTGGGAGACCCGGCACATTTGGCGACAGGCACGGTGTTCCACTCAGCGGGATGAAATGTGTGCCTCACGCCAGCTTCTTTAGAAGGACTGTTATTCATCACAGCTGTAATGTTCCCTTCAGAAAGCTCCCGCCAGAATGGAAAAGAAGCATTGGCAATTTATATACAAAAGCCAACCCACGTTTGGCTTTGCGAATTCACTGGGAAAACTGTATGCAGCCTGTTAGTTATTCATGGACATGCTCTGGTTTCTGATGGAAGTGCTGTGGTTTCGTTTGTTATCATCACAGTAAAATTAGAAAGCAGCAAAGAAAAATTAAAGGACTGGCATGTAGACATCTTCTAGCTGACAAATCGCTATGCGTAAGTTTTCGTGGTTCAGTTGCCATGTAAAAACAGTCATAATTCACACAGCCCTGTGTCTGGAGTGGGCAAACTGGTCTTTGTCCTGACTGTTCGGCCGTGTCCCCACCTTCCTTTATACAGTCATCCTCTGCCTTAGGAATACTCAGCGTGCCCTGAAGAGCTACTGAGGGTTTGGGTCGCGCTAACACCCTGCCTCTCACAGCAGTGTCTTTTTAGAACATCTCTTAACAGCTAATGAAATGGTGTGACTGAAAATATAAATGTGCAAATTGCTTCACAGCTGAACCTTGATTCAAAAGGAACATTATCTCCAGTTAACCTTTCAACCAGAATAGTTTCCCACCCCTTGGTTAGATAGGTGCCTAAATCTAGACACCAAGATTTCTCCCCAAATAACATACGATTTAACATCCGCAGAGGGATGATATTCTGTTTTAAAAGCACATTCACATCTACCATCACGACTGATCTGCACAAGAAGTGTGAGAGGGAGACAAGCATCACAATGCCCATTTTATAGATACAAACACCAAAGTCCAGGAAAGTGAACTACTTTGCCCCACATTTCCCAGCTACTAGGAGGGGCAGAAGTAGGGTTTGAATCCAGGGCCCAGTAAAGGGTCCAACGCTTATGCCACTTTCCTGAAATGTGTTTTGCAAGGGAAATAGGACTTTGTCTCCTATTATGATGAGTTAAATCTGAATTTATTTAAATGATAAAGAGTAAGAATACATAGTTTCTTTTAGTCCCAGCCAGAAAAGCAAGCACAATACTGGAATGCTTAAGTATGGAACATATAAGAAATGTGATGCTGTCATTTTGTTGACTGATTTTTTCCCATGGGATCAGTTCTGTACTCATTTTAGTTCAACCAACCTAGAACTGGGCAAACGCTATGTAGCAAGCAATGTGCTAGACATTGAAGACACAAAGGGTTAAATTCCAGCCTTTGTCTCAATAGTCCTTTGTGGAGACAGACAAGCAAACAGGTAATACCTCACAGCACTCTGAATGCTGTGATAGAGAGGTACACACAGGCAGCTAGGGGAGGGGTTGGGTGTGTCAATTAAGAAAGATTTTCTGCAGAAGGAAACATCTAAGATTAGTTTTGAAGGATGAATAGGAGTTCTCCAAGCAGAAAAGAGGGGAAAGGCATTCCAGTAATGTTCAGAGACATAGAAGACAACAGGAGTAAATACAGTTTCTGCTGACAGACACAGGGGCACTTTAAAGGGGAATAGCATGTAATCACAAAGATTGCATTGTGCTTGCCATGTGCCAGGCTTCTACACGCTTTACATGTACAAACACATTTAATCCTCACACCCACCCTGGGAGGTATGTGAATGTGTCATCCCCAGTTTTGCAAACAGACAACTGAAGCAAAAAATATTAAGCAACCTGGCCGATAGTCCATGGCCCATACTTTCAACACTGTGCTATACTGCCTTTCAAAAATGTGGGCATATAGCAGAGAGAGGGGGAAAGGGAGAGGGAGAGGGAGAACACAGGAAGCTTCCAGACAAACAGAGATGAGAAAAATTTTTGAAAATTTATAAATTTTAGAAAAAAATTAAACCAATAGAGGGGTTTTATCCTGGAAAAGTGGGCCGAGAAGGCAGATGAAGAAAATGAAGCTCAGTATTATTAAGGAGCCTACAAATTAAACTCAAGTAAGAATTTTCTACTGGTTAGAAGTAAGCCACATCAGACCTGCATCATGCAGGGGGCTTGTCAACGAACCTTCCTGCAGGTTCTGCTCCCCATAAATGTTTGGAGTAGTTAAAATCCTGCCAGGTTATTAGGGCAGCACATGAGGAAGGTACATGTGTTTATTGGAATGCGTGAGCCCTTTGAGTACAGATGTTCAATAAATATTGATAACAAATCATAGTTAACGCTACAACTAAGGTTAGTAAGATTAATTGGAAACACTTTTAATGTTACCATAGTTGTTATGACTCATGGCTAACAGGTGAAAATTCAACAAGTAAAGTTTTACCCTTTTTCTCACTTTTAAAAACGTTAGTGTAGATAAGCTGTCACTAGCTAATAAGAAGTTCAAATTTGCAGTCTACTTCTGTTGAGGAAGAAAGAACTTTGTGATATGTATTCTAATCGCTAATCTTGCCATCATTTTATCTTAGTTTTTCAATGCTAATTTCCTCTCCATATTCACTATTTCCCTTTAAACAATTTTACTGCACTCTATGTATCTTTGAAAATGCCCACAAATTCTTTTGCAATGAGGTAAGGTATAATTAAATACATACATAAACCAGATGTTACTTGAAGACCCGTTGGAGGGTTAGTTAAAATTAGTTTACCCCTGATTGGAGGACCTCAAAGAATTCCCATGATTTCCACACTCTTGTGGCCCACATCAATTCAGGCCCACTTATTCACTTTTCTACTCATTCTTTCAACAAGCATTTACTGACCATCTACTACATCCCAGTCATTATTGCAGGCAATAGCATCACAGCCACAGGCAAGCCCCTGTTCCAGAGGAACTTACATCCTAGTAGGTGAGAGGCAGCCAAAGAAGTAAACAAAAATAAAAGAATAACGTGCAAGAAAAGATAGTTTCAGGGAGTGAAAAAGTTTGATGAAGAAAATGAGACAGGGCGGTGTGAGGCCCTGTGATGCAGTGAATTTCCCCTGGGGGGTCAGGGAAGTCCTTCCTGAAAGGTGACCTCTGACTGGGACCCAAATGACTAGCTGGGTGGCCTGCAGATCTTGGGGAGGAATTGCGGATAAGACAACCACCAAGGCCAAGGCTCTGAGGTCGGGCCGAGCTGGACGTGTTGAGGCAGATGCAGGGAGGCTGTGTAGCTTAGGTTCGCTGCACTCGGGAGAGGGGCTGGTGATGAAGATGAGTGGCCAGCTGGGGCCAGGTCACGACAGGCTTTGTGAAAGGCAAAGGGAGACGAGAGTTTATTCTTAGTCGGGGTCGGAAGGCATCTGCTTTATGGTTTTTAAAGACCACTGTTTCTGTTTTGTGGAAAGAAGATTGCAGAGAAGCAGGAGACCCATTAGGGGGCTCTTGCAATTGTCCAGGGGACAGAGAGTGGCCCTGGAACTACGAGGTATTGGGCGCCAAGATAGAAGTACAGTGGATCCTTGAACAACAGGGGTTTGAACTGTGCAGGTTCACTCATGTGTGGATTATTTTCAGAAGTAAATACTACAGTACTACATGATCTGCAGTTAGTTGAATCCATGGATGCAGAATCACGGATGTGGAAGAATCTCGTATACAGAGGGCTGACTACAAATTATATGTGAATTTTCCGCTGCGTGGAGGGTGGGTGTCCCTAACCTAGGTACTGTCAACTGTAGATGGAGGCGGATTCAGTTTTAGAGATGCTGAGAGAGAGGCAAACCTCCCTCCTCAATCCCCCACCCACTCCCCTTGCTGACTTCTGCAAGAAATTCAATTGCACCAAAACTGTAACTTTTGGAATTTTACTTAAGATTTAAGGAGCCAGAGGGAAGGCCTCACTTTGGGGAACGTAGGGGCATCTTTGATAGGGCCCCCTTTGTCTCACTCTGCCCCCCTTTAAGGGTCTGTGGTGCCCACCCATGAGCCCTCCTCTCTATGCAAATCCTCTGGCACTTGTAATCCTATCCCCACTGCCAGCTGCCACAGAGGGAGCAAGCCCCTTTGCCTCAGTGCTGGTTGAAGATCCTTGCAAACGTATTAAATCAGATGGAAATCCAGCCACAGTCCGCATTAAATATTAGTTACATGTGAGTTGATTTGTGGCTGACTAGGTGATATGCTCTTACAGTTTGTAAGCATTTCATTAGACATTTATTTTTAATTTCTGGTTTTATTTTTCCATAATCGATTTTCTTTTCAGGCCTTGAACATTCTGTGGGCCATTACAAAGCTCGCGTCCTCTGTGCCCGTGGAGCTTCGTGATTCAAACGGCCGTGACCTGACCTGTCTGTCTGGCCAGGCTCACTGGCAATGTGGTGAGTGACTATCTCCTCGTGACTGCACACGCACACGGAAGTACAGACTGCAGTGTCAGCCGGCTTCCGGGACCCCGCCCGTGATGTCAACACACATTTCCCCACACACCTGTTACAACAGGACTTCCTGAGCCATCCACCTTCCTCTTACTCACAGGTTCGTCTCCACTCCACACTCTTCCACTCCCTGGACTTTGGACCTAGAAAGGTCAACTCAGAGCTTGAGGTAGTAGAAATTCTGGGCCTTGAATTTTCCATGGCTCACTAGGGGTGACAGACAGCATGGCCTCCACTCAAAGGCCCTGAGGCCAGAGACGGGAGCTGAGGGTGGAGCGCAGGCTGGGAAGAGAGAGGAAAAGGATTCAGGGCCCCCCCCAGGTGCAGGAGTCTTGGGGCAAAGAGATGGTGACAAAGCCGGGAGGAGAGGGAGAGAGTGGAGGGGGCAGGACCACAGTGCAGGGCCGAGGCTGGGAAGCTGCTGGGAGGACAGGCCGGCTCCTGGTAGATTCTAGAAGGCAGCCTCATCTCCTTGGCTCCAGTAGGCACTGCAGTTTGTGTTTCAGCAATCACACAGCTCACCTGGGCCCACCCTTCCCGGCATCATTCCCACGCCTGTCCTCCCCAACTTCTTTGTCCAGCTCCTCTCAGAGATACAAGGGGTGTCCTCCCCATGTGTGGAGACTTTCAGACATGAAAATCACAGCAGATTTGGGGGCTGAACATGTTAGCTCTGGAGCCAGACTGCCTGGGCTCAAACCCCGACTCTGTGCTCGATCACCTGTGGGTGTTGCCGAAACTCGGCCTCTGTTCCCCAGTGCTGAATAGAAACACGGAGCCAGAGTTTGGGGCAAAGTAGAAAAGAGTAGCTTTTATTGCTTTGCCAGGCGAAACGGGCCACAGCAGGCTCATGCCCTCAAAACTGTGTGTCCCCCCTGAAGGGGGTAGTGGGGAGACTTATAGTGTTCAAGGAGCAGGGTGTGATCGTCTCATGGGCATTCTTCTGACTGGTTGGTGGTGAGGTCATTGGAAGTCGGCATCATCAAGCCCGTCTGGGGTCTACGTGCTTGTGGGCAGTGTACGGTTACCTTCTTCCACCTGGGGGGTTTCAATATCCGCAAAACAGCTCAAGAGACATGGCTCAGAATATTATCTATAGTCCTTGAGGACGAACTAAAGGTCCATGACTTTGTTTAATGGCTAAGGTATTATTATTTTGTCTTGCTTGACTGTTTTCCTCTCTTTCTGCATTTTCTCACTTCTCTGATTAAATTTATTCTCTGACTAAAGTTTTTCTACAGACAAAAGGCAGGCAGAGGACATGGGTGGGGATCTATTCTGAGAAGGCCTCGTAGGGTCCTGCTCGGTTACATGGGCCCTGGGCCTACTTCTTATGAGGCCTCAGTTTCCTCAGTTGTAAATGGGATGAATGGAACAGGAATACTTCCCACTTCCGCAGCTTGTCGTGATGTCACCTGCAAAGTGCCTAGCATATGAGGACTCCACAAGTGCTTCGTTATTGTTGCTTTAAAGTACTGTCAAAACAGGATCACAAAATTGTGGCATATATTAATGTTTACACTAACAAGTTATGATTTTAACTCAAAAAACACAATGGTATATAACTGTGCTATTCTCAGGTAATTACAAGTTCGTTTGTTTTTCTTTAATTAATTCGCAGCACCTGAGAGGTGGTGTGGGCACATCATGGGACACAGATTAGAGGTGAATGAGAAGCATCTGTGTCCTTGACTCTATAGTAAGCCTCATCTGGACATAATGTCATAAATCTAAATTTGAGATCCTTTGCGAATGTTTGTCTCCAGGCCAAACGCTTTTCCTTGTCCCTCTGTGACCCCCCCATTGCCACTCCCATTCATATCTTAAAATGACTACAGCAGCTAAGTGTAGGAGTTGGATTAGACTCCACTTCCTAGCTCTCTGATTTCAAAATTAGATTAACAGGGTACGAAGAGATATATTCTATTATATTCTATAATTGGGAGATATATATATATATCTTAAGATGCAAACGTAGAGGGAGAAATGATGCAAGGCTAAAACTCATATGTCCTATAAACAACTGAAGTCAGACCAGTCTTTGAGGAGGTGAAGGCCCACAGGTCCCGGCCACAAGAGAACTGTGGGAGGAAAGGCAAGCTCTCTCTACCGCACAATTTTGTTATAACTCATCTTGTTTGTGTGCCCAGCAGAAGCTGTGTGTAAGACTAGCGAGGAGTGGACGATTTTCAATCAAACGGCACTTCAGGGCTACAAACATGACTCTAAATTACAGCAGCCCACAAAGTAGGACACTGAGGGGGACACAAAGTGAACCCCGCCCCATGGTTTCCCCTGGAAACACCAGTGCGTGAAGGGCTTTGCGGCTGCTACCCAGGGAATGCTGCTTGCAGATCTTTAAAAACAGGAGCCTTGGCAGCTCTCTGGGCAGCTGAGATGAAAGCCTACCTAGACTGGAGCAGACTGGCTGACCTTTCAAAGGCCCTTTTATCCTTGAGCGCCTGCTTTTGATGTGGTGCTCAGTATATTTCAACTTCCTATCAAGAAGAGTCAGGGATCATATGAAAAATAATGTCGGGCTCTACACTCATTCCCTCATGCATTTTTAAAAGGTTTTATAAATGGATGAATATTAGAGTCAGTCGATAAATAATAATTTCAACAAGATGAGAAATTTAAATTTGTCTGTTTTGCAAATCTAAGAGTTCAAAATTCCTATGAAGGAATACTTGAGGGGGTAAATGCCATTTTTTAAAGGTGGGAGACAAGTCATTGTTGATCCCCCCCATAGTAGGAACAAAACACATTTTTGTTGCGTGAATGAGCTATTAAGGAGCACAGCTTTTCATGTCTTAATGTTTATTATTTTGGAGGAAATAAAGTCAATGGATAATGATGACAACTTTAAAAAATTAGCTGACATTTATTGAACGCACTTTATCTCAGTTACCTATTGTTGTGTTAAAAACCGCTACAAAATGTAGTGGCTTAAAAGACTATTTCATTATTTCTTAGGATTCTATGGGTTGATTGGGCTCAGCTGGGTGTACTTCTGCTCCACACGGTGTCTTTTGGGGCTGGAATGTCCAAGATGGCTATCTGGAGCCTTGGCCGGGATGGCTGGAATGGAACAGCTAGGGTTTCAGTGGGCATTTATCTTTCTCTCCGTGGGGGGGGTGGGGGTCTCTCCAACAGGATCGCCTAACTTCTTTATATGGTGGCTCAGGGCTCCAAGAGCAAATGTCTCAAGGGGACAAACCCCTATGCGCAAGCACTGATTAAGACTCTGCTTCCATACCACTTGCTAGTAACCCATTGGACAAAGCAAGTTATCCAGCCAAGTCCAGAGTCAGTGTGGGAGGGCATTACACACAGGCTTAGTATTGGGAGGCCTGGTTCACTTGAGGCCACCAGTGTAAGTCAACTACACAACCCACTTGCCATACCTGTGTTGGACATTTTACATTAATTTATCCTCTTTAAAAATTAAAATACCCTATAAAGTGGATACTACTTATAATCTTCATTCTAAGATGAGAAAACAAAGGCACAGAGAGGCTATTGACTTCATTACCCAAAGTCACACTGGTGAGAACTGACAGAGCTGGGATTGAATTCAAGCCATCTAACCCCAGAACCTGAACTCACAAGTCTTAAAGCAGAAGCAAAAGAATAGGAAATTATTAACTTCCAAAAGTAAATAATATCTCAGAAATATTTAGGTAATACTTGATTTAGAAGTTTATACATTCAGTAGCATGTATGAGAATTTTGTCCTCCTTTTTTTTTTTTTTTTTTTGCGGTACGCAGGTCTCTCACTGTTGTGGCCTCTCCCGTTGCGGAGCACAGGCTCCGGACGCGCAGGCTCAGCGGCCGTGGCTCACGGGCCCAGCCGCTCCGCGGCATGTGGGATCTTCCCGGACCGGGGCACGAACCCGTGTCTCCTGCATCGGCAGATGGACTCTCAACCACTGTGCCACCAGGGAAGCCCTGTCCTCCTTTTTCTAACAGAGGTCATATGCATCTAATCTCCTAAAAGAACTGTGAACCAGGAGAGGTAAGAGCACTGGCTTGATGAGTTCCATTGACCTGGGTTAGAAATTTTCTTCTCCTTACTCACTGAGTCACTTGATGACTTAATTTCCTCAGCTATTAATTGGGAATGCTAATCTCTAACTTGCAGAGTTGTGGTGAGGATTAAATGAGATAATATAGTGAGCACAAAGTACCTAGAATGTTCTTGATGTATAGAAGGTGTTCATACCTATGTATACGTACGCATACTGGACAGAGCTAAGTGTGATGGTACACATGGGGAGCAGATTTTAGGGGATTCATGCTCTCCTACATGGGCTCACTGGAGAGTAATTAGGGCGGTGAGTTTTAACCATAGCATAGGCTGTTATGCTCACCCACAGCTGGGAGGCATGGACCAAAACAGAGTGGGAGAAATTACAGGTCTGAACATCCCAGCCCAGAAACAAAAGAAAAATAAGACACCACACTCCCCAGAAGACTCATGGCTGGTATCCTCACAGAACGAGTCTAACTGATCCAACCCAACTTGACCAGGCTCTATGATCTGCAAATTTAATCCGGGTCTAAGAATCTTTGGGGGCATCCCCCAAATTTGGAGAGTCAGGTACTAGCTGAGTACAGATCAATGATCTAGTCCTGGTCACCTTCCAATACAGAAAACTATTTTGACTCTAGTGAAGATGTGGAAAAGGGGAGAAAGAAAACACAGTTCATCACGGGTAACTTTCCAAACCTTAGTTTCCATTGTCTGGCTATGCCCACAGCTGTCTGCAGGTTTTGAGGCAATTTACAGCTGGAAGAAACAGGACTCCACATTTCTTCCCTCGGGGTTTGAATGATGGCTTTTTCCATGGTATTATGGTCACAGTTCTTCACATGAGTTATGGCAGCTTTAAATTACAGCCACAATATTATGGGAAAAAGGATAAATCCCTCACTGCCTTCTTTTATCTCCAAAGCAGTTGGGAAATGGGGAGGAGGCCACTTACCCAAAAGGAATAAAATGATGTTGGGGGATGTGTCTCTGTCAGAAGAGGCAGCTGGCAGCCGGCTTTGCTGAAATGCTCTCAAATGCTAACACGTTATTATACAAATCTCTCTTTCCCAGCTGCACGAGGAAGGACAAAGTAAAAGAGGATAAGTGAGGAAGATGAGACCAGGGCAAACCCTCTTAAAATCTGCTCATTCCATTTAGGTCACTGGTGGTAACTGCGCAAATACTGCTCTCCGAGGACTCAGGGATACTCTCTTCCCAAAGCAACTTTTTAGTTTTTTAAAGGTAGTTTCCGATAATCCCTTAAATGTGTTTCTCACTATCTTACATGTCTGAGTAATCGCCGGGCGTGGTGCCTCACTACCATGGTATGATTTCCAGCATATTAACTAGGAAACTCGTGTGAGTTAATTTAACCTCATTAGGCTCAGTTTTGTCATCTGTGAAATGGACACCACAGCACATACATCGCTGTGTTATTGGGGTACAGCCAGAAGAAGTTGTTTGCACCTTCCTTTCTCTCACCTTCCAGACTATTCACTCTGCATCCCACGTGCCCCTGAGATGGATTCTCTCCTCTCCATCATCTTACTGACGCATTGTCTCTCTCTTGAACCATGGCAGGGTCCTCTAACAGGTTTCCCTACCTCGGACAATAGAGAGATCTCCAGAATGCATACTGACCGTCCTTTGCTCGTTCCTGTTGGCTGTAGCGTAAGGTCCAGACTCCAGAGCAGAGCGCCCAAGTCCCCGAGATCTGGCTGTGTGGATCCCCCTCTTCTGCCTCCTCCCTCACCTCATTCTCTGCACACAGGTTCCAACTTAGTGAGATGATTGGCAAGTAGCATGGCCTTTGAGAGAGGAAAAAAATCTATTTGTCAGATGGCAGGATTGAGAATCCAAAAGATTCTTGCAACTGTGTGGTCAAATGAGCACTGGCCAAAGCTGAAGTTTTGGGTTGTAGTTTTTGTACGGATTTGTGTTTGGACTACATATCATTGTCCTTCGAAGACCTTTAGCAGCCAAGGTTTCTTTCTGAACACGGTACATTCCCTTGTATTCTTCCCCCAGCTTAAGAATGTGTCTGCTAATTATAATTTAAAAGAAAAAGCAAGCAGTATTCCCTTGCTTTGATTAAAAAATTCCAAGGGGGCTTCCCTGGTGGCGCAGTGGTTGAGAGTCTGCCTGCCGATGCAGGGGACACGGGTTTGTGCCCCGGT